TCCTCGCATTTGATGGTAGTAAAACACAGAAACAAAAAAACTCCATGTAATGAGTCTGATAAGTGTTTCCCTACATATTTAGGGCTTATAATTGTTTCAAACATGCCATCAGTAATATTAAATATTTAGGGCTATTTTAATTCTTAATGGCTCCATTTGCTTCTTATTCGATTTAAGGCAGCAGCATCATGGTTTTAGAATCCTCTAAGTAATCTAAGACTTAATTTTAATTACAGGAATTGTGGCATCACATATTGATGTTAGGTCGTAATATCACTTCCATTAGATGTTTCCATTCATTGTAACTTTCAGATAGATTATTTCTTCAAATAAAGATATTTCAGGAATTCTTCTCAGTTCCTAGAGTCTTTGAGCCTTTCAACTTAGTTCATTTGAGCTATATAGCTGAGACGTATGCAAGTACTTGACAATAAAGAGTGGATGGCTAACTACTAAAAAGAAATGAAAGGAAAGCAGAAGAACTACCACACAGCTGCATATTATCTATAACATAATAAAATTACTTAGGTTAAAAAGGTTAAGTTAGTATTACACAGGTTGGGCATATAACAAATGATTCCATAAATGGACTTACAGTGGATTTGTATAATCTCTACTGAGGTAAGATGAATGTCTACCTTAAAACTATCACTAAGGCTCCAATCAATTTTCAGGGGTTAAGGATGTTTCTTCCCCTATTCACTGCCTTTTTTTTCCTCCAAAGAACACATAAAGATAACAATAATCAGACCAGTAGCAAGAATTCAGTTTTTATCTCTATTATAAACCATTCTCTATTACAAAGGTCCTGCATCTGGGAAATGTCTTCTGTAATCTATTTCACTAGATAAAGGGAGAAAAAGAACATCTCAATTACCAAAGTAACGGGTTAAATTCAGGGAATGATAAAAAATGACACAGCTACCGAGTGAAAAGTATAAAAACAGTCACCATGTGCCACAGTTAAGTTCCTTTATTGGATGCCACATTCTGATTTCTCTTCAGATTATACAAAACCAACCACACTGTAACTTTTGAAGATTTATTCTCGTATTTTCTTTAAATTTCATCTAGAAAAGTTTAAAGGTTTTATGAATGTCTTCTTTGTTCTAAAGGGAGCTCTGGTGGCGTAGTGCCTAAGTCATTTGACTGCTAACCAGAAGGTTGACGGTTGAAACCCACCTGCCACTCCTTGGAAGGAAGACTGGGCAATCTACTTCCTGTAGAGATACCACCTCGGAAACCCAAGGAGGGGTCGCTATGAGTCGTAATTGACTCAATGGCAGTGAGTTTGGTTTTTGGTTTGTCTTTGTCCTAAAATGCATATATTTTAGAACAATATATATATATATGTATACACACACACACGCATTTTAGAGCCAGGGTACAAACAGATTACAATGACTCTGTCCTCTGTCCTTTGAAGGAGGACAGTTCAAAGCTAGTCAGTTTTCAAGCTTCAGCAGCAGCAATTTAAAGGTGATGAGCCAGTTCTTTTCTGTGGTTGGCAGCCAATTCATTAATTCTTAGGATAATTTTGGAATCCAAACAGAAATGCTGAGCATGTAGCTCCCTCATTTTTAAACTCAGCTGTAGCAGGAGAGTGGATTATGTGGAAAGGAACATGGTGTTTCAGAAGTACAGGCTTGAGTCCATCTCACTGTCCCCAAAAGACAAGAAAACCTTTGGAGCTAGAGTAGGGGACCATGAGAAGCAGAAACCTCACCTAGCTGGTAGGTGTATCAAAAGATAAAAATGACATAAATGTACATTTTGATAGTCGACAGAAACATTTTTTTGTTATTTTCAGCAAAGTTGACAAGATAATCTTCACTTCTCATGCCTTTAAGCTTTAGTAGTAGTATTTTCTGTAACCATTTCAACCAGTGAAGACTGGGTAACTCAGATATGCAGGTGAAAACAGGTTTTATATTGACAAGCACACAGCGAACAGGCAGGTAATCAGTTATTACCTTGGTGGTCAATAGGGAAGACAAAGCCAATTACTATCATGAAATGTGCAAAGACCTGGAGTTAGAAAACCAAAAGGGGAGAACACACTCGGCATTTCTCAAGCTGAAAGAATTGAGGAAAAAAGTTAAGCCTCGAGTTGCAATACTGAAAGATTTTATGGGCAAAATATTGAAAGATGCAGGAAACATCAAGAGAAGATGGCAAGAACACAGAGAGTCACTGTACCAAAAAGAACTCGTTGATCTTCATCCATTTTAGGAGGTGGCATATGATCTAGAGCCAAGAGTATTGAAGGAGGAAGTCGAACCTGCAATGCACGAATTGGCGAAGAACAAGGCTCCAGGAATTGACAGAATACCCACTGAGATATTTCAACAAACAAATGCCCCACTGGAGCCACTCATTCAGTTATGCCAAGAGATTTGGAAGACAGCTACCTGGCCAACTGACTGGAAGAGATCCATATTTGTACCCATTCCAAAGAAAGGTGATCCTACAGAATGTGAAAATTATCGAACAATATCATTAATATCGCATGCAAGTAAGATCTTACTGAAGATAATTCAAAAACATTTGCAGCAGTATATTGACAGAGAACTTCCAGAGGCGCAAGCTGGGTTCAGAAGAGGATGTGGAACAAGGGATATCATAGCTGTTGTCAGATGGATCTTGGCTCAAGGCAAAGAATACCAGAAAGATGTTTACTTGTGTTTTATTGACTATGCAAAGGCATTTGATTGGATCATGACAAATTGTGGATAACATTGAGAAGAATGGGAATTTCTGAACACTTGATTATACTCATGAGGAACCTGTATAACGACCAGGAGCCTGTTGTTTGAATAGAACAAGGGGACACTGCATGGTTTAAAATCAAGAAGGGAGTGCATTAGGATCATATCCTTTCCCCATACTTATTCAATCTAGATGCTGAGCAAATAATCCAAGAAGCTGGACTATATGAAGAAGAATGTGGCATCAGGATTGGAGGAAGAATCATTAATAACCTGTGATATGCTGATGACACAACTTTGCTTGCTGAAAGTTAGGATGACTTGAGACACTTTCTGATGAAGATTGAAGAATACAGTCTGCAGTATGGATTACATCTCAATATAAAGAAAACAAAAATCCCCACAACTGGACCAATAAGTAGCATCATGATAAACGGAGAAAAGACTGAGGTTGTCAAAGAATTCACATTGCTTGGTTCTATAATCGATGCCAATGGAAGCAGCAGTCAGACACTAGATGACATATAGCACTGGACAAGTCAGCTCCAAAGGAACTCTTTCAAGTGCTGAGGAGCAAAGATGTCTCTTGAGGACTAAGGTGCGCCTGACACAAGTCATGATACTTTCAATTGCCTCATATGCATGTGAGAGCTGGACAATGAATAAGGAAGACCGAAGAAGAGCTGATGCTTTTGAGTTGTGGTGCTGGAGAAGAATGCTGAAAGTACCGTGTAAAAGAACTGACAGATCTGTCCTGGAGGAAGTGCAGCTGAGATCCTCCTCGGAAGCAAGAATGGCCAGACTTCGTCTCACCTACTTTGGTCATGTTGTCAGAAGGGACCATTCCCTGCAGAAGGATGTCATGCTTGGTAAGGTGGAGGGTCGATGAAAGAGGGCAAGGCCTTCGATGAGATGGACTGACACAGTGGCTGCAATGATGGGCTCAAGTACAGCAAGAATCATGGAGCTGGCACGGGATCGGGCAGTGTTTCCTTCTGCTGTGCATAGGGTCACTATGAGTCAGAAATGACTCTATGGCACCTAATAACAACAGGGAAGACCTGCTGGAGAGGGGAATGTTAATGGTCTACTCTGTTCCAGGCCCACTGGTCCCAAACGTGAGAAAGTATCACCATTGATCTTCAAAAGTGTGTCTGGTACACGAATATGCAGATGCTTTAGGTCTGGACTTGAACTAATCCTGTGGCTTCCAGACAGACAGACAGGCATATAGGGTGAACATCTAAATCAGATAGATATACTCCCTAGAACAATCAATCATGAGAGAACGGAAGAGCAGTATTTGCACAGGGAGATAGTCAGGAGGCAGGAATGCACAGGAAAGAAGGACACAGGGAAGAGGTAAACACAAGGAGGAAGTGGGAAGAGAGCTGTTACACTGTGGGGAATTGCAGTCAGTCTCATGAAACAAAACATATATGAACTGCTATATGGAAAAGAAATTTACTCTGTAAACTTTTAACATACATCACAATAGCAATTAAAAAAAAAAGTGAGGCTTAGAATTGGATATAATCTCCAACACCTTAGATAAAATCAAAGAAGCATCCTAAATTATCAGGGTGATCTAGGTGCTTTTGTGCCACTTTGAGAGTCACCTGAGAAGGAAAAATCTGTCTTCTTTATGAAGACTGGCCTTTCTTTAGCTGCCTGATACCTTTATGCCAAACTCAGAGCTCTCAAGACCAACCCAAAGGTGCCCTGTGAAAAGGAATGGAGCTCTGTGCTGCTATGACAGCCAGACTATACCTAGCACTCAACCCTTCCTTTGAAGTGGGGTGCTCAGCTCCCAGACCCGAACATCATGCCTCTTCTGTCAGTGACCAAGGTCTACAAACTATGTCACAATGAACAAACAGAGGGTCGAACAACCAATGAACTTTATCTTCTAACACAGTTTCTAAACAGTGGATTAATGGGCAGCAGCGTTTAATCACTGATGCCTTAAGTCTCAACCTACTTTTCCCACAGGCATCCAATACTTTCTGGGAATTTCCTTCATTTTTGCCAAGCAAACAAATTCAGAATAAAAGAGGCCAAACCTACACCATCACTTTCTAGACACCAGACTAATTCTTCTACTTTTTCACAAAGTAGGGATACATTTTGTTACAACAGATGAAATACATGTGCAAGTCAACTAGCCTTAGATCTTGGGGCTGTCGGGTACTAATTCCTTTCATTTCAACTTGTTTTTTTCCTATGCACCTATACAAAGCTTTCATTCATGAAACTCATGATACCCTTTGGTGAAGCTAATGTGGTAGATACCTTTTCTCCAAGCCGAATGCTGCCACATTTCAGAATGTTGATGTCATTTTTGCAGTCATCCATGAAGCCACAGATTAGACGGTAATCACTAAAAATGATAGCTGTCATCTTGGTAATGTATTGGTGACACTGATACTCGGTGATGTTGCCTCTGTGATCCACCAAGCAGGAAACCAAGTAACCTTTTCCAACTGGTTCATCAGCACATTCTTTAATCTGCTCAAAACAAAGTGGCTGTTTTACACAAATATCCAGTGCTCACATTGTCAAGCAACTTTTATGAAAGAAAAAAATGTCTGATATTTTCTTAATCATTTCCAATCTCTCTACTTGGGAAGTTAAAAAAAAAAAAAATGGCTATTTGAAAAGGAAAACATTTACAAATACATTGGTCTTAATGAAAAATAGTGTATCATATATACCCAGATTGTTGTGCCTAAGAAATAACCTGATTAACATGTTTTCCAAGAAAATACAAACCCAAATGCTTAGGTAGAACTCATTTCTAAAGGGACTGAAAAGAGCTTTTAACATTGACAGCTTTAGGATGGTACCTTTAGATAATTATGCAAAGAATGAAGTAGACAGTGAGATGAATCCAGGGAGTAGGAACACTGGTGCAGAACTCAAGTCTAGCTGTATGTCCTAAGCCAAACTGCACAGAAACTATTATCGCTAGGTAAACTTCAAGGCCAAGGGGAGGGGAACAGGGAAGGCATGATATTATTTCTTAACATGATATTAATGTGTTCTGAATTAACTATGGATTTGAACGTGTTTATGAATTTAGCAGAATCCAAGCTAAACCACTGTGGTCTGGAACAGAAACATGTTTAAAATGATGTTCAGTGAAGTCTGGCAAGAAGTTTGGGAAGAGGCTGCTGCAAACCTAATTTGAGTGGTTCAGACACATGATCTAGCAGATCAAGCAGAGTGATTCCACATGGTTAGTTTCTTGCAAAGTACATCCCAAACCACAAGGCCAATTAAGTAAACTAGCCAAAAATTGCCGAAAGTGAAGTGAAATCTACCTATAGGGTTATAAGCTTGAAATATAAATTGGAGAAGGTTGTTTGGAAAAAGTCTATTGCTCTTGGGGCAATTAAAAACAAAAACAGCAGTTTTAACAAGAGAAATAAGACAGATGTAATACTTATTCTGAATATAAATGAGAAGGGAAAGTTTTATTTTGTTTTTTAATAGAGACAGACTATTTTCCCCTACTACAGTGTCTCTCTTAAGAATGCACCCAGAGCAAAACAAATACAATCTCCTTTTCCCAAAGTTGTTGCATGAAGGACACAGCCCCATACTAGTTATCTGTTAGGCAACGAGGTCTCTTCATGTCTAATTCCAGTACCAAATCTTGATCAAGCCAAAAACTCAGTTCAAGACAGAAAATCACATTTAAAGAAGCAAACCTGAGAATTTTAGTAAACACTAGCTTCACCGGCAGGAGAGATCTTCAAAAGTCAAGACGAATGCAATTCTCTCAGTTTAACCTTAAATGTGTTTATTGTGATGCCAAAAAAGAAGGCTATGAATACATTCCTAGGAAAAAGTTTTCTTGAGCAAAACAGAGACGAGTTTCAAAAGTGTAAAAAGGAAAAATAGTTTGAAAAATCCCAGTACATGTAATTCAACTACAGAAAAAATCAGTATAAAAACAGGACTAGCGGCACATATGTGAAGTAGAGAAAAACGTTCATACAGGCCTAGTACTGGTCAGTCAGTTAAATAATCTGAAGAAAAATGGAGAGCACATTTGGAATTACAGCTCCAGTAAGAAATTAATGTATGTAACTAGCTTCCACCATTGGAGTTTTACTGAAACACGGAGATGTCGTAGTATCTATTTGTATTTTAGTTTACCACCAAATACAATGGGGTACAGAGTTGGAATGAAAAGTTTATGCTTTTTTTTTGCTCCCCCAACCAGACTGCTGGATAGTATTTTTTACCCTCTTATTTCATTACATTTCAAAGACTGAAAACAAAACAGAATTAAATCAGCAACACATTTAAGAATTAAAGTAAATTCTGCGATAGCTGGGGAACAACTTCATAAGGTAGCATTAGAAAAATGCCGCAGTCATTCGTTTTTGACAGGAGACAGGAAGAAAACAGGCAGTATTTGGTCAATAATAGACAGAAATAGCAATTTTGGCTTGTAGTTTGTAGGAATTCTTGTGATGTTTTTCTCCTTGGAAGTAGGATTCCAAAATTAAAAAGATAGGAAGGAGAGGTAAAATAAAATGTTTTGTTGGCAACTATGTTCTCACTGATACTTAACTTTCCTGACTCCAGTATAATTTCCCTTGTTACTTGAATCTTCTTCAAAATCAGAACATTACAAATGGCCCATCATTACAGATACATTGTAAGGAAGACAGGCTAATGCAAAGAATGAAATTGTTCTGTTAAATATGCACATATATATACTCTGAGCTAAATTTCAAACACATGTATATGTTTGCATATGTCTCCAAAAGAAACTACTTATAATTGGATAGTTCCACAGTAGAGTTCAAGTGCACTAACATTTAAACTTGAAGCATGAGAAGCATTTCTCTGTTGGTTTTTTTTTTTTTTTTTTTGGTTAAGCATACACCTCTATTTTTAAGTTAGAGATGCAGAATATTACAGCTAGAAGCTGAAGTTCAATCTTCCCAAAGTATGCTATTCTATTTAAAATATGGTAGCAAATATGAAGAATTAATGCTTATAAGAATAAAATGATCTAATATTGCAAGATGATTCCCACCTGGCCCTCGCTCCCCCAAAAAGGAAAGGTTCTATTAGGCCTCACTGCCACATGTGAGGAGCAGAAGCTAGGGTTTATCTGAGTGGGGTTAGGGTCTTCCCTAAGGCCTACTGAGAAAGTAGCCCTGACTTAAGTTATCAATAGACGAGCTTAAGCCAGGCTAATATTTGTAAGGTCTTTGACTGTTAGCTTTGGGGTAGAAAAACATCAATTGTTTTACCTCTTTTTCTATTATTGATTAAAAAAGAGAGAAAACTTGCAAATACCACAATTTTCACTAATATTATTTGACACTGAATCAAGATAATAAAAAAATTTGCATTAGCATTTGTATAGTGCTATATATTTTACTCCAGCACTCGTCTATGAGTTTGACGTACTGTGGTGGCTTGCATGTCACACTGTGAGACTGGAGGCTATGCCACTGGGTCACCCATGTGGACAGGTTTCAGTGGAGCTTCCAGACTGACACAGACTCAGAAGAAGGAAGGGGCTATCTACTTCTTAAAGAATTGGCCAGTGAAAACCTCATGAATAGCAGTGAAACACTGATATAACGGACCAGGCAGTGTTTCGTTCTGTTGTACATAGGGTCACCACGAGTCAGAGGTGACCTGATGGCACATAACAACAACAACAACATGTTTTATTATTGTCATTATATTCAATATTCATTTATAACAAAATACATAATCATATTCTTAACTTTTATAATGCTAACTCCAACTCTTTGAAAAATATGTTTCTAGGCTTCAATTGATTCAACAGCGTAGACTGAAATGTAGTATGTCTATAAGCCTCCTGGGGAACACCATGTGGATGTGCTTCAGACATAAGCAGACTGTGAAAGGTGAACAAGAGATGCACTGGTGACAAAAATGACTGGATCTTCTGGGGACCAAGAGAATCAGATTTCCCATTTCCCACTTGTCAAGTGCATCCCACTGTAAGTGAAGATGAATCTCCCCCCCACACCCCGCAAAGCCATTTTAATTACATCTTCCTTCCTATCTTTGAACCAATACAGAGGTGAAATCCAACAAAAGTAGTCACTGAGCCCTTTTATGACTAAGGACTTTCAATAACTAATGTCCTTTATGACTGGTCTGGTGAACGGATGTAATTTTCTTTTCAAGCCATGAAATACTTGTAAAATTCTTTTACAACTTACTTCCGATATGGTAGATTTACAAACTTCTCTGGCCACAGATTCAAATTTGGGATCTGTAGTTAGGTTCAGCTTATAATTCCATAACAACTAAGTAAAAAAGAAAGGGAAAAAACCTCCAGTTAGAACTGTACAAAATTCATCAACAATAGTTACAATAAATGACAAAAGTTCACTAGAGTCTAATAAAGCATATACACACTTCAGTTAAACAGAAACAAAGATAAAATGTCATCACATTCATCAATAAAAGGAAAATAATAGGCAGACATAATAAAAGCACAATTGAGAATAATTTAGGAGAAGTTTAGTTATGTCTGAAGGACTCTTGGTCCTCCTAGCTCCTCATAAGTAAAGATGAATCCAATGATTCCAAAGGTAAGGTTAGAATTTAGACAAATATATTTCATCTATGAAATAAGTGATATCCATAAATTGAGTCAGCATTATATGCCCACTAAATTTTGTATTTTAAAATTAAAGCAAAACTCCTTCATCATTGTATTTTAAATTAAGAACATTCTAATTTTTTGTACACATTAAAGCCAAACCAAGAAAACCAAGCCATTGCCGTCAAGTCGATTCTGACTAACAGGGACCCTACAGAACAGAACAGAACTGCCCTGCAGAGTTGCCAAGGCTGTACGTCTTTATGAAAGTAGCCTTCCTCATCCTTCTCCTGCAGAGCAGCTGGTGGGTTTGAACTGCTGACCTTTTAGTTAGCAGCCAAAGGCTTTAACCACAATGTCACCAGATTTCCTTATCAAAGACAAAAACAGATTAAAATACTTCCTCTTTACTGAGTGACTTGTATTTGACCTATTGCCATTTCTTCTGAGGAAGAGGAGGAAGGGAAAAAAAAAAAGCTATCTGGTAGCTCGACAAATATCAAAAATATAAATATAAACCAAAGAATACTACCTTACTTTATTTAATGCAAAACCAGACATTCTGTGATTAGGCTAGAAATAGAATTTTTCCAAAAACAATTTTTAGTTACTAACTGGATCTTTTGAATGTCTTCAACTTTTTATTTGAAAATTTACTTGTTATGATAATATAATTTTCTTTTTTTTTTTTTTCCAAATATTTTGACTGAAAGTTTATAGAGCAAATTGGTTTTCCGGTATAAATTTCTTTATGACCAAGAAGATTCCTATCAAATAACTATGAGAGGACTGTCAAATGTTAAACATCCTACCTCTTATCTCCTATTTATTTTTATTTTTTAATTGAGATCTAATTCACATACCATAAAAATCACCATTTAAAAATGTACTACGGTGTGGTTTTTGCTGTATTCACAAGGCTGTACAACCATTACCACTTTCTAATTTCAGAATATTTTCATCATCCCAAAAAGAAACTTCCTGTTGTTGCTGTTAAGTGCCGTCGAGTCGGACCCAACTCATAGCGACCCCTCCTTGGGTTTCTGAGGCAGCATCACTATGGAAGTAGATTGCCCAACCTTCCTTCTGAGGAGTGGCTGGTGGGTTTGAATCACCAGCCTTCTGGTTAGCAGTCAAGTGCCTTAGGCACTAGACTACATACCCATTACCAGTCATTCCCATTCCTCCCCCGACTCAGCCTGTGGTTATTAATCTACTTTTTGCCTTTATGGATTTGCCTATTCTAGACTTTTCATATAAATGGGATTATACAATATGTGGCTTTTAGTGTCTGGTTTTCAAGGCTCAACCATATTGTAACATGTATCTGTACTTCATTCCTTTTTATTGGTGAATAACTGTATAGCTATATCATGGCCATTTGGGGTGATGCTGCTTTTCAGTGTTATGAATGCTGCTGCTATAAATATTCATGTATACTTTTGCGTGTGTGCGTGTGTGTGAGAGAGAGAGAGAGAGCATGTTTCAGTTCTCTTGGGTATATTCTGAGGAATGGAACTGACAGATCATGGCTGCTGACTGCTTTTAACAGCAGCTGCACCATTTCACATTTCTACCAGCAATACATGAAGATTCCATTTTCTTCACATCCTTGCCAACACTTATTATTTTCCATTATTTTGATTATAGCCGTCTTAGTCTATGTGCAGGAGCTCTGGTGGCGTTGTGCCTAAAGCATTTGACTGCTAACCCGAAGTTCAAATCCACCAGCCACTCCTCAGAATGAAGGTTGGGCAATCTATTTCCGTAGTGATACTGCCTCGGAAACCCAAGGAGGGGTCGCTATAATTCAAAATTGGATTGACAGCAGTCACTTTGGTTTGGAGTCTGTGTGGTGGCGCTGATGACAAACTATGGTAAGCATCTTTTCACGTGCTTACTGGCCATTTGTGTATCTTCTCTGGAGAAATTTTTATTTAAATCCTTTTCCATTTTTAAATCAGGTTATTTAAATTAAGTTGCAAGAGTTCTTTAGATGTTCTGCATACTAGACCCTTATCTTATATATAATTTGCAAATATTTTCTCCCATTCTGTGAGTTGTGTTCAAACTTTCTTGACAGTAGCCTTTGAAGTACAAAAATTTTTAATATTGATTAAGTTCAATTCATCTATTTCTTCCTTTGTTTCTTCTGCTTTAGGTATCACATCTAGGAAACTATTACCTTTCACCCAGTGGCCATGCAGTCACTGTTGCAATTACTCATCTCTGTTGTTTTAGCATGAAAGCAGCCACCGACATCAATGAATGAATGGTATGGTTATGTTCCAATTAAACTTTATGTGCAAAAAAAAAGGTCAAGGGTTGGATTTGGGTCAGGTTTTTGACTCATGGGTTAGAGAACGTTTAAATGCTCTTAACACCATCAATATTTTGTACTTATCAAATTTTTTATATTTGCTAGGTAGATGTAGGAAACATTTAACTCATCTTCCTTTTAATTTTCTTATCTTTAATTATGAGGCAGACTCAACCATCTCTTTGTCTTTCCCTGTGAAGTCTTTTCACATCTGTTTCTAAGTTTATTAATAGCACTTTCTATTAAAGAATGTAACCCTTTTCAACTGTGCTACAAATAAATTTTCATAATTTATACAACAGTTTGAGAGACAGAATATTTTTAAAGCAGTCAGATTTATAATTTTTTTTTCCTTTACATCTTTTGGGGATTGTGTCATGTTTAAAACAGCTTCTCTCTGTTCATGTTTTCTTCTAGTACTCTTGAGGTTTTGTTTTGTACTTTAATCTCTGACCCACCCAGATCTTCTTTAGAGTAAGTTGTTGTTGTTGTTATGTGCCGTCGAGTCGCCCTGACTCATAGCGACCCCTCCTTGGGTTTCCGAGGCAGTATCACTACGGAAGTGACTTAAACAGCCAAACCAACTCTCTTTTCTTTCAGTTTCCCTGCAATTTATCTTGTACAGTATTGAAAGAGTAACTCCTTCCAGTACTACTACTCTTTTAAGACCCAGGTCAAGGATCATCTTTCATCTATTAAGTCTCTGCTGACATAACCCACCTAGAAAAATCCTGTACTCTGTAAAGACTCCCACCAAAGCACCTATTACTTTCTGCACATGATTTCACATGAGTTTCCCTTTAAGGTGAGACCTTTACATAATACTGTCTAGTATGTATATATATCACTTTATATGTATTTTATCAACCATAATTAGTTTTAGAGTTCTTATCTGCTAATTCTAATATCTCTCTCTAACTTCAAGGTCTTTATATGCCTCCAGTCTAGTAGAAGTCTAAATGAAAGAATTTTAAAACACAGCATTTGAAAGTTATCAAGCTGTAAACTTGATAAGCAGAGAACTAATTATTTTTATATGTTAGCTGTCACAGAGAAAAATTTAAGCTTAAGTAATAAATATTACCCAGCAGAACCTACTGGTTCCTGTGATGGAAGGCTCTTTGAAGATTTTACTGTGGTGTTTTACCAAAGTTTATCATTCTCTTGGTTAAGATTAAGAGAATCTAAGAAAACATGTTTTCCAGAACAACAAGAATCCCAAAATCTGTCATCAGATATACAAAGCACATATGGTAAAGTACACAAAATCCATACTTACATGATTGCAGTCTGATGAAATTTCATTTTCAGGCTAGGATAAAAAAAAAAGAGATGATGTTACGGGGAAAAAAAAAGGAAACGTTACAAGTTTTCAAACATCACCAAAATAAATGCAAAACAAGAAATCTGAATATTCAACCAAATGTGTTTTTTTAATATAAGGAAAATCCGGGACTTTCATATCTTTCAAGGTGTTGGGGAAAATGTACCAGAAAGGTAAGTAAGACATATCCCTTCCCAACCAATGCCATTATCTGGAAATTGGTAGAACGGAGAAAGAATGTACTAAAGAGACAAAGCAATGGTGACATAAGACTCTTCACATGACACTTTATAATTTGTTAAATTAAAGAAGATCAGGCATAGTCTTTAAAAAAACAGATTTCTAAAACAAACAGGCTTATTAAAGAGTGCCAAGAAGCGAGTAGCAACAAAGGCTTGCAAGCAGCCATCTAGATGCAATGATGGGTCTCTCCTCATCCAGAGTAAAGAAGAATGAAGAAAACCAAAGATTCATGGAAACAATTAGTGCTAGTGACTAGTACACCATGCGATCCACAGCCTATAAAACTATGAGATCAGAAGAACTAGATGGTGCCCAGCTACCACTGTCAACCACTTGAAGTAGGATCTCTGTAAGAGATTCTGGATCTGGATAGAGAGGGAGAACAATGTGGAACAAAACTCAAAATCATTTGGAGGAAAAAAAAGGTGGGGACCAGGTTTGCTGGTCTGATAGAGCCTGGTAGAACCACTGAGACTATGGTCCCTAGCTACCCTTGAGGTCTGGAATTGAGCCCATACCTGTGGCTTCCAGCCAAACAAAAAACAGGCATATGAGTTGAACATTTTCCTGAGGTAGATACTCTCCTTGGAGAACAATCATGGGAGAAAGAAGGGCTGTGTATGCACAGGGAGACAGCTCAGGGGGCAGGAGTGCTTGCAGGGATGGATGCAGGGAAGAGGTAACTATCCGGAGGAAGTGGGAGGGAAGCTATTGCATTGGGGTAAATTGTAGTCAATGGCATGAGATAAAGTGTATGTGAACTGCTGTATGGAAAGTGAATTTGCTCTGTAAATTTTCACCCAAATCACAATTAAAAAAAAAAGAGTGCCAAGAAATTTTTTCAATTATTTAAAATTTAGTTTAATGTTGTCATTGAAGGAAGCTAGGTGATGGGTATGAAGGACTTCTCTGTACTACTTTTTTGCAACTTCTTCTGAGTCTATAAGTATTTTTAAATAAAAGTTTAAAAAAGCAGTTGGAGACCAAACACACACACACACTCACACAAAGCAAAATCAATACATTCGTTTTGTAAAGCCAGGTACATGTATACACAAAAGATAAAATAAACTTTCAAGTCCATGATGAAAAAAGTGGCCTAGGTTTTGGCTAATACTGAACAGCTCTGCACATGTATCTTCTTTAGTTTGCTTGAGAAGATGCAATTCCAATAATACACATCAAAACCAAGCACCATTTCCAATGAGTTTTCATAGTATTTCAACCTGTTCAAACAAACTAAATTCTGTGTGCCTTATATAAAATATTACCAATTAAGGTTGTAAAAGGTGACATTTTCAAAGCAAAAAAAACGTTTTTTGTTTAGGGATAAAGATAAAGCAATAAAGAAAATACTAAATACTACAAAGGAAAGCGGTTACACCAAGCATTATTTCAGGAAGGAAAAGCTGTGCAGGAAATTGAATGCTATTGCAGAATTTAGTAGACATTAACACCAATATATAATCTCATTCTCATATTTAGTTCTTAAATATTATACTCTTGAAAGGAAGGTTGGGCAATCCTACTTCCGTAGTGATACTGCCTCGGAAACCCAAGGAGGGGTCGCTATGAGTCGGGCCGACTCGACGGCACATAACAACAACAACAACAACAACAACAACAGATATTATACTAAAACTGACTTTAATTAGATTGCCAGGTAAGCATAAAATTATAAAGTATCACTTTTGAATTTTCTCTTCTATAAGAGATAATGTTAATGTAAAGTGCCTTCCTGAGTCTCATAAATCCATCTCCATACTATGAGCTAACTACCTAAACTCTTCTCTATAGCTCCCTGCCCCTCCCCCACCACTTCAACTCCAAGTGCTTAATTTGTATCTTTTAACAGTTTATCACCAAGAACGCTTTATTTTATTTCAGTGGTTTTCTATCCCATCCCATTTTAACCTACCCCTTAATTTTTGCCCCAACCAAGCAGCAATTCTACTTCTTTCTCAAACAATGCACTGAAGGCAATTAATATCATGATTTTCTCTACTTGTGTTCAGGATATTAAACCATCACTTTGGATAAAAGGGGGCATTCTTGAGATAAACTCAGAGCTTTGGAAAATTTTCAAAATAATGTAGTCAAATAAGATGTAAGCTACCTAGACACAGAAAAGTGTTCTCACGTTTATAGTTCACAGAATCTATTTCAGGAAATTAATGATTGTTTTAATGGCTTTCTTCTCTACAATGGTAGATTTGACTGTTTTCCTACTTTTTCATTTTCCTTTCAGTGGGTTTAAAATTCAGATCCTTTGTCCTGTAACTTTGTACTGCCTCCCACTGTGGGCATAGTATACACCTTGCTCAACCGATGTTGGATAGGCCACTGACTTCCTTTGGCTGGTGTGATTTTAGCAGACACTCTAGGAGCAGAGGCTTTAAAAGTGCTTGGGTAGTTTGGCTTGCCTCTTGGGATCCAGCCAGTTCCCACGGGAAGGACATGTACAGGTGGCTGCTAGTACAAGAACATGAAAGTCCTGTGGAATAAATCTAAATCCAACCTCAGGCTGAAGCAGAGCCAACTGACCAGGAAAAACAAACATTTGGCAATGTAAGACCCAGAAATTTTGAGGGTGTTTCTTATAAAGTAAAAATGACTAATATACTACTTATCAAGCAAATGAAATAATAAAACCCAAACCACACTCATGGCCATCGAGTCGGATCCGACTCACAGCAATTCCTCCTTGGGTTTCAACTGCCAGCCTTCTGGTCAGCAGTCAAATGCCTTAGGCACTATTCTACCAGAGCTCCCCAAACAGAAATTCTAAAACCTTTAAATTGCAATTGGTAACAGCTATCATCTAAAATCAATGAATTATTAAGTATATAGCATTTTACGAAGGAATGACATCATCCACTGAAGCACAAAAGAACTGCAAATTAGGAGACCAGTGTTTTTGTTTTCATCTCTTTTGGCAGGGGCTCAAAATATGACTGAGGAAGAACTGACTCACCAAAGTTGGGAGAAAAAAAAAAAAAAACATTGCATATGAGTCAACTCCGACTCAACAAACGATCTTATAGGACAGAGTATTGTCCCATAGAGTTTCCAAGACTGCAAATCTTTATGGAAGCAGACAGCCCCATTTTTCTCCTGTGGAGTGGCTGGTGGATTTGAACCAGTGACCTTTTGCTTTAACCACTACACACCAGAGCTCCTTCCTCAAAGTAGAGTTTACCTTAATGATGTGGACAGAGTAAAGCTTTTGGGACTTTCATTTGCTGGTGAGTCACAACTCAAAATGAGAATAAACAGCTGTAAACATCATTAATAATTGAAACATGGAATGTACAAAGTATGAGTCTAGGAAAATTGGAGGTTGTAAAAAAACTGGAATGAATGCATAAAAATCAATATCCTAGTTAAAATAGACTGGTACTGGCCATTCTGAATCAGACAGTTACATAGTCTACTATGCCAGGAATAACAAATCTAAGAGGTACGGTGTCATATTCATTGTCAAAAAGAACATTTCAAGATGTGTCCTGAGTACAATGTTGTCAGTGATAGGATACCCATACACATACAAGAAAGACCAGTTAATAAGACTATTATTCAAATTTACACACCAACCATTAAAGCCTAAGATTAACACATTGAAGAGTTTTACCAACTTTTGCAGTCTGAAATTGATCAAACATGCAATCAAGATGCATGATGATTACTGGTGACAGGAATGCAAAAGCTGAGAAGAAGGAGGGATCATAGTTGGAAAACATGGCCTTGGTGATAGAAAAGGGGGAGAATGCATGATAAAATTTTCTAAGACCACTGACTTATTCACTGCAAATATCTTTTTTCAACAACATAAATGGAAACTATACATCTGGACACTGCCAGATGGAATACACAGTAACCAAATCAACTACTTCTGTAGAAAGAAGTGATGGAGAACTTCAATATGAACAGCCAGAACAAAGCCACAGGGTGACTGAGAAAGAGACCATCGATGGCTCATATGGAAGCTCCAGGTGAAGCTGAAGAAAATTAAAACAGTCCACGAGAGCCAAATAAGACCTTGATTATACTCCACCCGAATTTAGAGACCATCTGAAGGACAGATTTAATGCACTGAACACCAATGACTGAAGACCAGAGACAAGCTGTGGCATGACATCAAGAATATCACACATGAAGAAATCAAACAGTCATTAAAAAGACAGAAAGGGAGAAAAGACCAAAATGGATACCAGAACAGACTCTGAAACCTGCTCTTGAACATAGAATAGCTAAATCAAATGGAAGAACTGATGAAATAAAAGAGTTGAAAAGATTTCAAAGGGTGGCTTGAAAAGATAAAGTATTATAATGAAACATCCAAAGAAATGGAATTAGAAAGCTAAAAGGGTAGAAGACGCTTGGCATTTCTCAAGCTGGAAAAACTGAAGAAAAAATCAAGCCTTGATTTGCAATACTTAAAGATTGTATCGGCAAGATATACAATGCAGTAAGCACCAAAGAAGATGGAAGGAATACAGAATCACTGCACTAAAAAGTGACTGTTCAAAGTCAGTGTTCAACCATTTCAGGAGATAGCATACAATTAACAACTGATGGTACTGAAGGAAGATGTCCAAACTGCACTGAAGGAACTGATGAAGAATAAGGTTCCAGGAATTGACAGAATACGAATTGAGATGTTTCAACAAATGGATGCAAGACTAGAAGCACTCACTCATCTGTGCTAATAAATTTGGAAGACAGGCACCTGGCCAACTGACTGT